TCTCCACGATAGGTTTGAATGTGCATCTCGTAGTGTGATAAGAAACTCACCGATCTGCAGCGCAGATCGCGCTGCTGCATCGGAGTCGTCCATCTTTGATCTCGCAGTCCTCTTGCAGAAAGTTGGTTAAAAACTCCTACTAAGTCGTCTCCGATTGGCGGAATGCGACGGATCCGTGTGTTACTGCGTGTGCTATGGTCTTCGAAAATTTGTTGAAAGGAAGCATGACCCTTGGAAAAGAGGAGAATCTGAGAAAGCCGGCTTACTCTCGCGTGGTATGCTAACTTTGAGACGAGAATGCTGAGAATGTGTTGTGTGCTGTGGCGTGGTGCAAGCTTGCTTGCGAGTTGGCATGCTAGTTCCAAGGGAGGTCCACATCGTAAATCGATGCGAACCAATCAAGTTGAGTCTAATAAGAGAGAGCTAATCCGGAGAGGGGAGCGCGCGTTGAGCTGGCGTTCTGGTGTGAGGATGAGCCAGGATGGACTTAAAACCGCCGCGATCCGATTAGTTTCTCACACCGCTCTTCTCGTCCCTCTCTCACGCTCTCATTCAGCGCGAAATCACAGACAAGGCGCGGGCGAGGGACGGACAGACGAGGCAAAAGTCAAGATACGGAAAGCAAGATCTTCGCAACTGTAATTTGCTGTGCGCGCGGTGCGCGCGAAAGTGCGCGTGGAGGAGCGCGCGGCGCTGCCCTTCGCTGCGACGAAGGGCGCACGGTCGTCAGGTGAGGTGGACGAGGGAGGAGGGACGGGCACGGTGGGGAGGGGGAAGGTGGTGAGGGGAAGGTGGGGAGGGGGAAGGTGGGGAGGCGAAGGTCGCGGCGCTGCCCTTCCCCGCGACGAACGATGCGCCGGTGCCAGGTGAGGTGGACGAGGGGGGTGCGGGGAGGGGAGGGTGAGGTGGGGAGGGGGGAGGTGGTGGGTGGAGGGCGCAGTGGGGAGGGGGAGGTGGTGGGGGGAGGGCGCAGTGGGGAGAAGGGAAGGTGGGAGGGGAGGGCGCAGTGGGGAAGGTGGAGGGTCGGGGAGCGGAGGGCGCAGTGAGGACGGGGGAGGGTGGGGAAGGGAAGGCGCAGTGGGGAAGGGGGAAGATCGCGGCGCTGCCCGTTGCCGCGTCAGACGTGGGTGCATGTTTGCCCTCGCTCCCACATCTCTCCGCTTTTCCGCTTCTCGCCCCCACATCACTCCCTCTTCTCCTTCCCGCGAACCCCTCCCCACCTCTCCGTCACCTTCCCCCCTTCCCCTCCACCACACCTCTCTGCCCGCCTCTCTCGTGCCCACTTCCCCAAGCCTGCCTCCCCCTCCATCCGTCCTACCCGCCACCCTTCACCTCCCTCTCCCCCATTGCCCAACCCCTTCTGGGCCTGGCCATAACGGCAGCTGCCGCGCGCACCTCGGGGAGAGAGAGGGGCCAAGCTGAGGTGCTGCGCGGAGATAGAAGCACAGCGGGCAGCGCTGCCAGTGGTGGCGGGGGAGGGTGAAGGGGTGGAGGCCGCGGGGAGCAGCAGTGCTGTGTGCGGCGAGACGGGGTCGGGAAAACAATCAGTATCAAAGAAGTTCCGCAGGTGCTGTGGTGTGGGGGAAAGGGCAGGTGTGCGTGGTGTGGGGGAAAGGGCAGGTGTGCGTGGTGTGGGGGAAAGGGCAGGTGCGTGTGGTGTGGGGGAAAGGGCAGGTGTGCGTGGTGTGGGGAAGGGCCAGGTGAGTGCGGTGGGGTGGGAGAGGTACATGGAGGCCAGCCCTGCCAGCCTTGTGTGCGGCGAGACGGGGTCGGGCAAGTCCATGCAAGTGCCACTGAGACACTTGGCATGGTGTTACCGTATCATCATGCCATGAGATTTTTAACATGCAGATTTACATGCGTTGAACTGTAATTCATGCAATTCATCATGCCATGTTTCATCCATGCATTCATCAAGCATCATGTGCTGCAGCTCACAGCAATTGTTTCACATTATATACATGAGCAGTTAGCGTATCCTTTTATGTCATTTTCATTCAATTTAGCATGACTCAATATGACATCCAACGCTTCGCCCCTTCCCTCCTTCTCCTCACCTTCTTCCCTTCCCCCCCCCCCCCCCCCCCCCCTTTTCCCCCCCAATTCAGGTGCTTGGGACTGTTTCAGCACTCACGGGCCTCGAGCTTTGGGAGCTTGACAAAAGGCTCGCTAAGCTGAAGAGACCGGGCTGGACAAGGGTTGGCTTGTCATCATACAGCTAACCTGTTGCTCAAATACTGCTGGTACTGGTTGCTCAACTAACCTGAATCTGTTTCCCGTGCATGATCTCTCGCTTGCTGTCATTCTCGGGCCATCTCAAGCCCCGGCCACATTTTGAGGCGCCTCAAAAGTCATCTCAAGCCCCGGCCACATTTTGAGGCGCCTCAAAAGTCATCTCAAGCCCCGGCCACATTTTGAGGCGCCTCAAAAGTCATCTCAAGCCCCGGCCACATTTTGAGGCGCCTCAAACGTCATCTCAAGCCCCGGCCACATTTTGAGGCGCCTCAAACGTCATCTCAAGCCCCGGCCACATTTTGAGGCGCCTCAAACGTCATCTCAAGCCCCGGCCACATTTTGAGGCGCCTCAAACGTCATCTCAAGCCCCGGCCACATTTTGAGGCGCCTCAAACGTCATCTCAAGCCCCGGCCACATTTTGAGGCGCCTCAAACGTCATCTCAAGCCCCGGCCACATTTTGAGGCGCCTCAAACGTCATCTCAAGCCCCGGCCACATTTTGAGGCGCCTCAAACGTCATCTCAAGCCCCGGCCACATTTTGAGGCGCCTCAAACGTCATCTCAAGCCCCGGCCACATTTTGAGGCGCCTCAAACGTCATCTCAAGCCCCGGCCACATTTTGAGGCGCCTCAAACGTCATCTCAAGCCCCGGCCACATTTTGAGGCGCCTCAAACGTCATCTCAAGCCCCGGCCACATTTTGAGGCGCCTCAAACGTCATCTCAAGCCCCGGCCACATTTTGAGGCGCCTCAAACGTCATCTCAAGCCCCGGCCACATTTTGAGGCGCCTCAAACGTCATCTCAAGCCCCGGCCACATTTTGAGGCGCCTCAAACGTCATCTCAAGCCCCGGCCACATTTTGAGGCGCCTCAAACGTCATCTCAAGCCCCGGCCACATTTTGAGGCGCCTCAAACGTCATCTCAAGCCCCGGCCACATTTTGAGGCGCCTCAAACGTCATCTCAAGCCCCGGCCACATTTTGAGGCGCCTCAAACGTCATCTCAAGCCCCGGCCACATTTTGAGGCGCCTCAAACGTCATCTCAAGCCCCGGCCACATTTTGAGGCGCCTCAAAAGTCATCTCAAGCCCGATAGGATGCAATAGGCATGTCGCGCTCCGTTCACATGCGACGGATGCAATAGGCATGCCGCGCTCCGTTCACATGCGACGGATGCAATAGGCATGCCGCGCTCCGTTCACATGCGACGGATGCAATAGGCATGCCGCGCTCCGTTCACATGCGACGGATGCAATAGGCATGCCGCGCTCCGTTCACATGCGACGGATGCAATAGGCATGCCGCGCTCCGTTCACATGCGACGGATGCAATAGGCATGCCGCGCTCCGTTCACATGCGACGGATGCAATAGGCATGCCGCGCTCCGTTCACATGCGACGGATGCAATAGGCATGCCGCGCTCCGTTCACATGCGACGGATGCAATAGGCATGCCGCGCTCCGTTCACATGCGACGGATGCAATAGGCATGCCGCGCTCCGTTCACATGCGACGGATGCAATAGGCATGCCGCGCTCCGTTCACATGCGACGGATGCAATAGGCATGCCGCGCTCCGTTCACATGCGACGGATGCAATAGGCATGCCGCGCTCCGTTCACATGCGACGGATGCAATAGGCATGCCGCGCTCCGTTCACATGCGACGGATGCAATAGGCATGCCGCGCTCCGTTCACATGCGACGGATGCATAGGCATGCCGCGCTCCGTTCACAACTCCAACAGTCGTGGCAGCTGCCCTGCCGCTTCTGGTCAATTGCAGTGGTGTCAACCAAATGCTCTGTGATATGGTACCTTCCCAGATAAGGTCATGTGCACACAACACAGGTGGTTGGCAGGCAACGCAATAGCTATGGCCATTAGCTTTGGAGGATTAGCTGGACATGTGTATTCCTTAGCTACAACTGTACGCGCTGCAAAGTCACACTTGGAGTATGTTAGTCAGCTGAGCCAACTCGTACGGCACCGGTACCGTAGCCTGAACTTGTTGCAGTGACGCACCTCTCTTTGACTCTGGTACATTTTGATCATCTAAGAATGCTTCCAGCATTCCAGTCCAAGGTTCTCACACTTGCTACAGACAAATTATGACTTGAACAATACGGTATATTCAGCTAAACACTGCCTGTTCTCCATCAAGCAAAACCAAGTGGTGCGTGTCCCCTGTGTTTCTATGACCCTCTTGTCACCCCTATTGGGCCGTTATTATGACCTGCTGCCAGTATCACCCTTCGCAGTGTGAGGCTGAGGTGGTATGCACAGCACAGGTGTGAAGCGATTGAAAGGAGGTGTAACGCAATTGAGGGGGCGTGGGGCATCGAGCTAGACCAGCCAGTTTTGGTGCTCCCTTGTCACCACGGCCCTGATCTGGACCGTTGAAGTGCCCCGCTGCCAGCAGCACCCTTCACAGTGTGAGGCTGAGATGGTGTGCGTAGGTGTGAAGCGGTTGAAAGGAGGTGTGAGGCGGTTGAGAGGGTTGTGTGATGCGGTTGAGTGGGGGTGTAACGCAGTTGAGTGGGGGTGTGATGCGGTTGAGAGGGTTTGTGGCGCATCGAGAGAGACCAGCCAGTTCGGGTGGTTCCCTCGTCACCAGGCCCTGACCCGAACCGTTGCAGTGCCTTGATGTCGGCACCTCCCTTCACAGTGTGAGGCTGAGACAGTGTGTCCAGGTTTGAAGCGGTTAAGGGGGGGTGTTATGTGGTTGAGAGGGGGTGTCGCGCATCCAGCGAGACCAGGCAGCAAGGGTGGTCACCATGGCCCAGACCTGGACCGTTGCGGTGCCTTGCTGCCAGCACCACCCTTCCCACCTGCTGCTGCTGCTGCTGCTGCTGCTGCTGCTGCTGCTGCTGCTGCTGCTGCTGCTGCTGCTGCTGCTGCTGCTGCTGCACCTGGCAAAGGAGTGTGAGGGTGAGATGTTGTGTGCAGGTGTGAAGCGGTTGAGAGGGGGTTTGCCGGGAAATTGGACGGTCCGGCTGGTGGTGGTAGGAGACTGAGTGGCGTGCCTGCTGCCGCCGCTGCTGCTGCTGCTGCTGCTGCCGTTGCTGGCACTGCTGTTTGTGGTGCTGCAGATAGAGAAGTAGGCATGGCTGCTGGCTGCAGCGTTTGGGGAAATTGAGGGGAGCAAGACAGGTCCGAAGGGGAAAGAGGCGAGAAAACAAAAAAGATGGAGACAAGAAAAGAAGTAATATCGATGGTCGACGGGGATACGAATCAAATCAAATCGAATGTGATGATGGGAACGAGAACTTGCCAGAAGCTGCGCTGCTGAGTGACAGCGACAGTAATGTCAACGTGATCGCACTCGCTCGAGCTGAGAAGGGGTGCGCACACCGTGCTTCGTTCACTCAATGCGCAATGTGCACTCACCATGCTAGGGTGCGCGTGGGTGTGGGACTGCAGCAGCAGCTGCTGAGCAATCACTGCATATTTCTTGACTCACCATTTGCGTGTGTGACTGTGACTGCAGCTGCAGCAGCTGGGAGCGCAGCTGTTCGTTCTCTTCCTTCAACTGTGCCACCTCCGCCTCTAACTCTACTGTATACGCCTGAGGTGGGGAGGGGGAGGGCATGGGAAGAGGATTATGTGGTTAAGCTCCTGGGCACCCTTCAGGCTCCACTGTGTACGCCTGAGGGGGGGGGGGGGAGAGGAGAGGGGAAGGGCTGGGTGCGCAGCTGCTCGTTCTTTTCCTTCAGCTGCGCCACTTCTGCCTCCAGCTCCACTGTATACGCCTGGAGGGTTGGAAAGTGGGGGCATGGGAAGAGGATCATGTGGCTAGGCTTCCGGGCACCTTCACATTCAGGCTCCACTGCGTATGCCTGAGGTGGGGTTAAGGAGAGGGGAAGGGCTGGGCGCGCAGCTGCGCCACCTCCGCCCCCGGCTCTACAGTGTACGCCTTAGGGGGAAAGGGCAGGGGGGTGTGTGGCATGGGAAGGGCAGCACGTGGTTAGACTTGAACGTGTGTATGCCTGGGTTGGGGAGAGAGGGGTGCACCAGAGGGGTGGGGCGGAGCACAGGAAGCGGTGCAGCATGGTGCAGCTTGGTGCAGCTTGGTGCAGCTTGGTGCAGCTTGGTGCAGCATGGTGTGAGGAGAGAGAGCACGAGCCATGTGCACGCAGACAGCCACACGGTGACCCTGTGCCGTCCACCCTGTGCCGTCCACCCTGTGCCGTCCACCCTGTGCCGTCCACCCTGTGCCGTCCACCCTGTGCCGTCCACCCTGTGCCGTCCACCCTGTGCCGTCCACCCTGTGCCGTCCACCCTGTGCCGCACAGCATTCTCCCTCCTCTCAAAGTATCACGGATCTTGACTCAGTGTGGCACAGCAGCAAAACAAGAAGATCTGGAAAACGCTTCTTCACCTCACCTCAACCCATCCCACCTCACCCCACCTCATCGCACCCCACCTGCTTCCTCGCCCGGGACCGAGCGGCTGACTCTCTATTCTTGATCATCTGCTTCTGCCTCCTCTCAACGCTTCATGAGTTTTCACTCACAGCGGAGGAGCAGCAGGCAATCACATAATGTTTTCTCACCGCACCTCACCCAACCGCACCTGCTTCCTTGCCCGAGACCGAGCGGCCGACTCCCTATTCTTGATCATCCGCTTCTGCCTCCTCTCCACCGGCGCCCCTCCCCCTTCCCCACTGCGCTTCCTCCCCCTCCGCCCCGCACTCCCCCCCACGCCCCCGCTCAAAGTGTCCCCATCCCCACTCCCCCCGCCTGTATCCGACTGCCCCCCTCCCCCTCCGCCGTCACTGCCCCCCCACCTCTCTCCCCCGCCCCCCACCCCATCCGCCGACACCATGCTCGCCCCAGCAAGCCCCCCCAACCCCCCTGCGCCCATGCCTGCGCCCATCCCTGCGCTCATCCCTGCGCCCATGCCTGCGCCCATGCCTCCGCCTATCCCTGCGCCCATGCCTGCGCCCACACCATACGTAGTGGGCACCAACCCCCCACCCATCCCCACGCCTCCCCCAACGCCTCCGCCCACGCCTCCCCCAATCCCTCCCCCCATGCCCATCCCCATGGCAAGGCCACCAGCAGGGGCGGGTCCCATCGCCCCCATCGCTCCCTGCACTCCCAGTGACCCCAGCAGCCCCCCTCCTTGCGCGCCCAGCGCTCCCAGGGAGTTCCCCCCCAGTGCTCCCAGTGAGCTCCCCCCCAGTGCTCCCAGGGACCCCAGGGACCCGAGGGCGTTGAGGGCAGCGGCGGCAGCAGCAGCGTGGCGTGTGGCGGCGAATACAGATGCCACGTGGCTGTGCCCTGCATCTGCCACCGCCGCTGCTGCCATCTCCACCACTGCTTGCTGCTGCTGCTGCTGCTGCTGCTGCTGCAACGCCTGCTCGCCTCCCCTTCCTCCCTCTCCGCCACCACCCCCACCTCCTCTCCCTCTCCCTCCCTCGCCTCCGCCCTGCCCCCCCTGCTGCTGCTGCGGGTGAAGCTGGTTCTTGTGCTGCTGCAGGAATGGCACCTTTGCTTGTCCTGCCTGCCCTGCTGCCCCCGCATGTGGGTGGAGTTCCCACCCTGTTGCCGCGGCTGTAGCTTTCGAATCATGTGCCACGTCAGCACTGCGGCCATTTGCCCCCACGCTCCCCATCCGCCCGTCCGTTCCAGTGAGTTCCCCCCCTCCTTTCCCCCCTCCACCTTCCCCCTCGCCCCCGCCGGCTCCGCCCTCCCCCTCTCCCCGCGCACTGCTGCCAATCCCGCCATTCGCCTCCTCCCCATCCCCCGGCTCTCCCCCTATAGCCGCTATACCCCCTATTAGCTCTTCCTTCGAAATCCCTGCGCGCACTAAAAAATCTTCCAGTGTAATTTCTGCAAACGACAATTGCCGTATTTGTTGCTGCCCCTGCCCCTGCGCTTGTTGCTGCTGCGCCTCCCCCCCTCCGCGAGTACCTTCCGCCGATGCCCCGCCCCCTTCCGCTGCTCCCCCCTCCCCCGCTAGTTCGGCCTGTATGTCTTTCCACACGTCTTCAACTGTCCGCGCAGTCTGCGCGCGCGGAAGCGCTGCGGCGGACTTCTGCCTCCGTAGCGAGCGCGCGCGCAGCAGCCCCGCGGCCTTGTCGCGCGCGCGCGGATCCGCGCCGCCGGCGGCGTGCGCGGCGGCGAGCATTTGCGACTCCTCGGCGAGCCAGACGGATCGCAGAAAGTCGTCCATGGGCATGGATGCGACGGCGTGCGACGGGCCTGCGAACGTCGCCTGGAATTCGTCGAGCGTGAGTGAGTAGATTGACGCCTGACGCGCTAGCAGCTCCGGGAACGCCATGGCGCGCGGGCGGAGGGCGGAGAGGCGGAGCGGCGGAAAGGCGGAGAAGCGGAAAGGCGGAAAGGTGGAGAGGCGGAGGCGGGAAAGCGGACAGACGCCGAAGAGGGGATTATGTACAAATTAGGCGCCGTTATAGGAGACGGTGACGAGCGGACGATTCGAGAGGTGCCTAGAAAATAGGTGGCGCGAGAGAGGGGAGGGTATTTACAAGGGTAACGGCGGCTATGCGACGGGCAAAGACATCAACGCTCTCCGCCGACGCCGGCGGCGGCGGTACTATGGGCCCACTCGACTTGTATTTGACACGTTGCGGCGCACTTTCGCGTCTAGTTGCGGTGTATTAGTAAGCTGCTAACGAAACTGTCAATAGAGTGGTTCGAAATTTCACGCGCCTATCATGCGCCTATCACGCGCCTATCGCGGCGCCTAATCCAGCCCGTCCCTGACGGCTCCCCCCATTCCCCTCCTCTCCCATCCTCCTGTCGCATGGTCGGATCGTCGCAAGGATGAGTGGCGCCGGGTGATCGCGGGGGATGCGGCACGACAAGGCAACGAGCACGCTACGGAAAGACCTGAAGGAGGAATAAACTGCGGATTCAACGAGGAGAAATTCAAAGGAGGTGCGGCACACGGAGGTCCGATGCGGAGCACGGCAGTGAAAGTGGGTAAAATCTAGAGAGACATGCGCGTGACGAATGGCGACTCGGGGTGGTATGTGGGATATCAGCGGAATGAAAGTGAGTGAACGTAGTAATGAGTGATTTCTGGCAGGTGGTGGTGCGAAGGGAAGAATGGGAATGGGTGGGAAAGGTGATTGGCGGCGCTGCAGGTTGCTTGCTTGATGCCAAATCAAGACGCCTGAGAAAGTTAGAAAGCGGTTCAATATGCTGCTTTGCGTTCCAGAGCGAGCAATCTAAATAGAGAACGGTTGGGCGGGGTATTAATCTTATGGGATCTGTATCACGTGCAACCCGATAAAGGCGGCCTCATCTGTTGTGTTACAGAGACCACATGAAACTCTTTTCACCGTACTCTCAACTCATCAGTCTTGCGTTTGGTTGTTGCTGACGCGATTCACGGGCTTGATTGGGTCGTTTCCTCCCCAGATTCCCAGGTTTCCGCCTTTATCTCGTGCACGTGTCAGCAGCCCATTCCCCCGTTAGCTGGCGAGGCACCTGCTCTGGGTCCGTTACAAAGAGGGTTCCTTTTCACAACAGCTAGATACACACTTGTACACTACGATTATTTCGGAAGTCCCATCCCATCCCCCGAACCCCAAGTTTCGATTCGTTCTGATCCAACCCAGAGTCCAATCACCATCCGATCTTCGCCATACTTCACCGCGCACTCAGAGATCATCAGCAGCCGCGTCGCGCGTGCTCTAGTCGCCACCAGCAACATTATTCCGCCCTGGCATTGGCAGCCGTCGAAGAAACGAGCAACGCCGCCCAGCGCGGTATCTCCAGTTATTTTCGCCGCGCTTGTTCGTTCTCTTCCGCGCAGCTTTCCCCGTTCCGCGCGAGTCCGGCCCATGGCCCTCCGCGTCCACCCCGCCTTGCCCCCGGGAACGCGCCCCTTGGCGAGTGTTACAGTAACGAGCGAACGCTATAGGTGGGTCGTCGCCACTGCGGCGTTTTCGTAAGCAATGCGCGCTCTATCGCACGCTGTAACGTCGTCTACACACGCGGTGTAGGCCGCATACGCTGCTGCGATATGAACAACCTTTCAGAACAAGAGCAGCTGCACTCCCCCCCCGCATTTCCCGAATCACCTACTCTTGTCCTCCTGACCTCATTTCTTCCCCACTTGATTCTAACTCCTCATTCCCCGTCGTTCTTGACTCTCGCTCCATTCTCTCCCCCGTCCCTCTCCCTGCCTCCCGTTCCCTCCTTTTTCTCCCATCCCCTCCCCTCCCTGTTCCCCCTCCCCCCCCCCGCTCTCCCATTATTTTCCAGAATACCCTTGCCCCCCGCGCGTCTACTCTCCTCCGCCCACTCGCTAGCCGCCGGTTCCCCCTTCCGCACCGACTGTTGCGCCACTCCGCCAAGCGCAGCGCGCGCTCCCCCCCGCAGGCGAAGGGCGTGGCGCGCAGCTGCTGCAGAGGGCGCGGGCGAGGCAAATGCGGGGGCGGCGCCGCTGGTGTCCGCCGCAGGCGATGGCGCAGTGAGGGCGGGTGAGTGGCAGTGGGGGAGGGGGGGGTTGCGGGTGAGTGGCAGTGGGGGAGGGGGGGGGTTGCGGGTGAGTGGCAGTGGGGGAGGGGGGGGTTGCGGGTGAGTGGCAGTGGGGGAGGGGGGGGTTGCGGGTGAGTGTCAGTGGTGCGAAGAGGCGGGTGATTAGCAGTGGCGCAGTAAAGGTGGGTGAGTGAGGCAGCGTATCCCTTCCTCCGCTCCCCTCCCTCCTTCTCCCCCCCCCACTTCTCCCCTCCCCACCCTTCCCCACTCCCCCATTCCCCCCTTCTTCCCCCACTTCCCATCTCCCACGTTCCACCCTGCACCGTTTCCTCTTTCCCGTCTTCCCTCTCCTCCAGTCTCCGCCACACGCTCCGGTCTCTTCCGCTCGCCAGTATCCGGAGGGGTAGAGAGCGCCACGAGCGCCCACGGCCTACCCGCGCCAGCAGTGGCGGTGCGCAATCTGGTGGAGCAGGCGCAGTACGCGCAGCTCTGCTCCATCATGTCCCGCTCGCACCACCGCCGCAAGGGGTACCCCTTTGGGTCGCTCGTTGACTTTACCACTGACGCTGACGGCCGTGAGTAAACAAAGGGAAGGTGGGGAGGGGAACGGGGGCAGGGGGGGCAGGGAGTGGGATGGAAGAGCGTGGGCAGTGGGTAGGGGAATGGGAGAGGAGGGAAGGGCAGGTGAGGGAGCAAGCAAGGAGGGCAGCAGGCGCAATACGCACAGCTCTGCTCCATCATGTCAAGGTCGCACCACCGCCGCAAGGGGTACCCCTTTGGGTCGCTCGTTGACTTTACAACCGACGCTGACGGCCGTGAGTCGGGAAATGGAGGGATTGGGGGCATGAGTGGGAAAGTGGGTAAGGGGGAAGTGGGGAGAGAGAGGGGGAGATGGGGAGGGGGAGGTGGGGAGGGGGGAAGGGCGGGCGAGCGAGGTTGGACCGAGGATGGGAGTGAGTGTGCACGGGAAACGAGAGAGGGAGTCTGCTTGTTCCACCTTTTCCTGCTCTCCCCTCTCGGCATGCACTCGCGCAACCTCCAATCCGACCCGCGCTGCACCGTGGTCATGCAGATTTCACCTTCCCCTGCCATTCCCCTCACTCCCTCCACTTTCCTCTTCTTCCCCCCCCAACCCCAATCCCCCAGACCCCGTGTTCCTGCTCTCTCCACTGGGCATGCATTCGCGCAACCTGCAGTCGGACCCGCGCTGCACCGTGGTGGTGCAGATCCCAGGGTGGAGCGGCCTTGCCAATGCCCGCGCCACCATCTTTGGGGACCTCTACCCCCTGCCGCCCAGCCAGCAGGTGGGACCTGTACCCTTTTGTCGTCTACCCCCCCAGATAGCTGGTAGACACTAGACTAGATACATCACAGCACATGGGGGTGAAACCAAGTGCGATAACAACCCGTTAGCGTGTTTGCACCAGCACGCAAACAATCCCCTCTCCCTCCCTAACTCCTCCTCCCCTCCATGCCCCCCACTTCACATTTTGCCATTTCTCCCTCCGGGCCCTCACTTCACCTCCCTCCCTCCCTCCCTCCCTCCCTCCCTCCCTCCCTCCCTCCCTCCCTCCCTCCCTCCCTCCCTCCCTCCCTCCCTCCCTCCCTCCCTCCCTCCCTCCCTCCCTCCCTCCCTCCCTCCCTCCCCTTTGGTTGCGCCACTGGCAGGAGTGGGCGCGGGGCTTCTATGTGAAGCGGCACCAGCACGGGGCAGCGCAGCAATGGGGAAACTTCCACTTTTACCGCATGGATACCATCTGGTAAGTGCATTCATCTTGTAACCAGATTCATGCGGTAACCACATTCATCTTGTGACCAGATTCATGCGGTAACCACATTCATCTTGTGACCAGATTCGTTCGGTAAGCACATTCATCTGGTCATCCGGTAACCGCTTTTGGCACCATCTACTTACTGGGGGGGGTTGGCACGGTGGCATGGATAGACGAGGCTGAGTATGTGAAATGACGCCTACATACATACTTACACACTCTCTCTTGCCCTTCCCCCCACTCCCCCTTCCTCCCCCTTCCTTCCCCCTTCCTCCCCCTTCCTCCCCCTTCCTCCCCCTTCCTCCCCCTTCCTCTCCCCCCCCCACTCCCTCAGTGACATCTATTTTGTGGGGGGCTTTGGCACGGTGGCGTGGATAGATGTGGCTGAGTATGTGGCTGCCACGCCTGACACCGTGGCCACCAACCACGTGGAGCACACACTGCAGGTGAGAGGGAGAAGGTACCTTGTGCCAAGCTGAATGACAAGACCGGATAGGGGCCAAGCTGAATGACAAGACCGGATAGGGGCCAAGCTGAATGACAAGACCGGATAGGGGCCAAGCTGATGGTGGTGCTGGCGGGTTCAAGCGGTGAGGATTGTCATTCCGGTTCCTTTTTACGCCTTCCCCTTTCCCTCTCTCATTGTTCTCTTCAACAGGAGCTCAACGACCGGCTAGGGGCGGAGCTGAGGGCGTGCTGGCAGGGTCGAGTGGTGCATGCTATCATTGTGCTTCCACCATCCCCCTTTTTCCTCGTCTCTCTTGCTCCTTCCACCATCCCCTTTTTCCTCTTCTCTCATCCTCCTTCCACCATCCCCTTTTTCCTCTTCTCTCATCCTCCTTCCACCATCCCCTTTTTCCTCTTCTCTCATCCTCCTTCCACCATCCCCTTTTTCCTCTTCTCTCATCCTCCTTCCATCATCCCCTTTGTCCTCTTCTCTCATCCTCCTTCCACCATCCCCTTTTTCCTCTTCTCTCATCCTCCTTCCACCATCCCCTTTTTCCTCTTCTCTCATCCTCCTTCCACCATCCCCTTTTTCCTCTTCTCTCATCCTCCTTCCACCATCCCCTTTTTCCTCTTCTCTCATCCTCCTTCCACCATCCCCTTTTTCCTCTTCTCTCATCCTCCTTCCCCCTATCTGTGGCTGGCAGGAACTCAACGATCGGCTGGGAGCCGATCTAAGGGCAGTGCTGGCGGGGTCGAGCCCCCAGCAGGCCATCGACGACGCTTCGTTTATCAGCATCGACAGCAAGGGGGTTGACATCCGCGTGCGGCATGGTACTCAGGTGGGTGGAGACATGTGGCACGTGGGTGGGTGGGGTGACCAGGTGTGGCTGCGAGCCCCCAGCAGGCCATCACCGATGCCTCCTTTATCAGCATTCACAGCAAGGGGGTTGACATCCGCGTGCGGCATGGCACTCAGGTGAGGAGAGAGACGACGCACGGGTGAGAGACATGGAACGTGGGTGGCATGACATGGTACCCACGTGACTCTAGCAGCGAGCAGCCCCAGCAGGCCATCGACGATGCTTCGTTCATCAGCATCCACAGCAAGGGGTTGACATCCCCGTGTTGCACGGCACTCAGGTGGGTAAATGGGCACACAAGTGCATAGAGCGGGCTGCGCAAGTAACATGACATGGTACCCGGGTGACTCAAGCAGCGAGCAGCCCCAGCAGGCCATCGACGATGCTTCGTTTATCAGCATCCACAGCAAGCGGGTGGATATTCGTGTGCGGTCGTCACTCAGGTAGGGCATGGTACATGACACGACACACAGGTGAACAATGGGATGCTGCACAGGTGGGGTTGACATGTCATGAGGGTGGGATGACATGTCATGCAGGTGGGATGACATGGCATGCAGGTGGTATGACATGGCGCATGTGCATGTCTATCCACCCAGTGCTGATATGACACCCTGCACATGCCTCATTCTTCATAGCAACCCAATCTCACCCTTTCTCTCTGCAGTTCTCCGTACATAAAACGCACTCGACTCGCTGCCAGCAGCAGAGGCAGCATACATCCATCCATACTGCTCCATCTCCGCCCTCTCTATCCCTGCCCCTCTCCATCCCTCCCCACCCCTTCAGTTCCACGTGCAGCGCCTGTCCTTCACCACATCAGACGCAGTGGACTCACTGCCAGCAGCAGAGGCAGCGCTGCGCCGCATCCTCGCCTGCCCCTCGCCCGTGCTCCCCAACGGCACCCCCCTGCTCTGACAACGCCTTGCTAGCCCTAGCCCCTACCTCTCATGCACAGCCGCTCTCGCTGCTCTCATGGCTGCACAGCCCCTTAGTCGGTGGCCAACCAAGCCTCTCAGCCGCAGCCTTGTGAAGAGATCTGCACCAAGGTGCTCCTGTGCTGCTCACAGTTGCCTCCACATTTTCCAGAACAAGGGGATTTGTTCTGGGCTGAATGGATGGAGGCTCAAGCAAGGCAATCTGTGTGCTCACAGATTGTTCGCAGTTCAAAGGGGTGCTTTGTTCTCGAGTGGTTGGTGGCGCCAACAAGCGCGCCCTCACATCTCTGCTGGCTTGCATTGTCACCTTTTGAGGCGCCTCAAAAGCCAACACGTACGCACTCACATCTCTGCCTTTTGCTTGAACTGTTCTTGCCTGTTTTCCACTATGTTTGTTTCAGTTGTTTAGTTTAGCCATGCCATGTAGGATCAGTGCCGGATGTGCACAGCCAGGTCGATATTTATGTATTGCCCAACTTTGAAAAAAATGTACAAACACATTCAAGTGAGCCTGCCAAGCCGGCGGCCCATCCTAAGCTCACTCCTAACAGCAGCAGCAAGATGGGCACCTGGCATGAAAGAGAATTAACCCCCATTCAGCACAGCAGTCAGCTTCGCATGACTGGCTTAATGCTTGGCAGTGCGGTGCTGCTGCTGCATGAATGCACGCAGGCACAGCACCATGACATTCCGAGCTCGCTGCATCTGAGACAGTGGTGCTGCGCGATGCAGTGCGGTACCAGCTCTTAATGGTGCTTGGCAGTGCGGTGCTGCTGCATGAACGCACGCAGGCAGAGCACCATGACATCCCGGGCTCGCTGCATCTGATACAGTGGTGCTGCGCGATGCAGTGCGGTACCAGCCGTTAATGGTGCTTGGCAGTGCGGTGCTGCTGCATGAAGGCACGCAGGCAGAGCACCATGACATCCCGGGCTCGCTGCGAGGGCAGAGTGAGTTCCACCTCCTTGTCCGCACTCACCACCACCCGCATGCGCTCCCGTTCATTCGGTTCTGTTTCCACCTGATGGCACACGTGGTGCAAGTAGAGATGGGAGAGGAAGGGGGTGGAGGGCAGTGTCAGTTGCACCTCCTTTTCTGCACTCACCACCACGCACATGCGCTCCCGGTCGTTTGGTTCTGTCTCCACCTGACAGCAGAAGGGGGAAGAAGGGATGCTGAATGAGCTAAGACATCCTTTTCCGCACTCACCACCACACGCATGCGCTCCCGCTCGGCCGGCTCAGTTTCCACCTGATGGCGGGGGGTAGAGAAAAGGAGAGACACAGGAGGAAGGGGAAAACGAAAGGAAAGGGGTGAGTTCCACCTCCTTGCCTGCAGTCACCAGCACCCGCATACACCCCCGCTCGCCTGGTTCTGTTTCCACCTGATGGCACACGGGTGCAATGAGAGATGGGAGAGGAAGGGGGTGGGAGAGGGAGGAGGGAAGTGTGAGTTCCACCTCCTTGTCCGCACTCACCACCACCCGCATGCGCTCCCGTTCATTCGGTTCTGTTTCCACCTGCAGACGAGGGGTGGGGAGAATGAGAGACGGGAGAGAAAAGGGGAAAACAAAGGGAGCAGTGTGAGTTCTACCTCCTTTTCCACACTCACCACCACCTGCACGCGCTCACGCTCGCCCGGTTCAGTTTCCACCTGATGGCACACGTGGTGCAATGAGAGATGGGAGAGGATGGAAGAGGAAGGGGGAGGAGGGCAGTGTGAGTTGCACCTCCCTCTCTGCACTCACCACCACGCACATGCGCTCCCGCTCACCCGGTTCTGTCTCCACCTGATGGCAGGGGGTGGGAAGAATGAGAGATGGGAGAGAAAGGGGGAATTGTGTTACCCCAAGTTCCCAAACACTGAACCCTAACCTTTAGGTTCCCAAACCTGAGCCGTGAGTGTTACCCTGAAGGGCGGGTCGTAGGTTGCTCTGACTTCCACTCGGTTGATGGCAGCGAGTGCAGTGAGCTTCACCACTTTGAACCGCTTTCTACTGGCGTCCACCACTCGGTGCTCCCTCCGGCCCGACCGCCCCACGTCATGTGTCTGGCGAGGAGGCAGGAAGGGAAAGAGGGGAGGGGGAAAAGGAGAGGATGATGTGGAAGGGAGTGGGGCGATTGGGCAGGGAATTGGGAGGGCTGGCTGGTTGTATGCAGGGCATCGGATGCACGGCATGGCAGCACGGCATGCAAGGCATGGCATGGCAGCAGAAGATATGAGCACCGCAGCATCACATACATAGACACAACAGCCCATGGCTACCTAAGAATACATGTTCACATGCACACAGTACCGCCCCCAGCACTACACACTCCTCGCCACTGCGGGGTCTGGTGGGCACAGGGGAGGGGGTGAATGGCAAGCAGGTGCCCCCAGCACCACAGTACCGCCCCCAGCACCACAGTACCGCCCCCAGCACCACACACTCCTCGGCACCACCCGCCAGCAGCCCCCCCAGCACCATGTGTCCTCACTCATGGGCACTGAACTGACCTCCACTTTGGTGCGCCCGCCGCCACTATGAGATCCACATCCCTCGCCACTGCGGGGTTTGCATGGTCGCGCAAGAGCACGGTGTTCCATGGCAGCACGTGACTGCTTCATGCACCCACCCTCCCAACCCCCCAATTACCTCACACCAGCACCATGTGTCATGACTCATGGGCACTGACCTCCACTTTGGTGCTGCCTGCCGCCACTATGAGATCCACGTCCCTCGCCACTGCTGGGTCTGGATGGTTGCAGGGGAGGCAGCACATGGCCGTACGGTGTACCCACACAACCACCCAGTTACCGCACCCCACCCAGCACCACACCAGCCCCAGCACCACACCCCACCCAGCACCACACCACCCCCAGCACCACCTATCATGGGCACTGACCTCCACTTTGGTGCTGCCTGCTGTCACTATGAGATCCACATCCCTCGCCACTGCGGGGTCTGGCAGGGAAGGATAGGTGCACGCACATGGTCCTATAACAGCAGCACGTGACTGCTTCGTGCACCCCCCCAACCGCCTCAACTACCACACCCCCAGCACCACCTATCATGGGCACTGAACTGACCTCCACTTTGGTGCTGCCTGCTGCGACTATGAGATCCACATCCCTCGCCACTGCGGGGTCTGGTGGGGGGACAGGGGAGGGGGTGAATGGGCACAGCAGGGAGTGATTGGGCACAGCGGGGAGAAGGCACAAGTGAATGACGCAACAGCGCAGCGAGAGAGGCTGGGTGAAAGGAGGAGCAGTGCATAGTAATGCAAGAGGCACAAGCGAGAAAGAGGCGGAGAAGGGTAGAAAGAGAGAGGGGGCGCGATGAACATCGAGAGATTCTCAGGGAGAAAGGAACAAGGAGCAGGTCGAGTGTGGGTTTGTACGACCAATGAGGAAGAAGAGGGGAGGAGAAGTAGGTGCAATGCAGTGCAGGCACGTTATAAGAATGGGCAACTTCACGTACCAACGAGCACTTGCGGCGACAGCACTCGCAGCACCACCTCCTCCCCATCCCTTTCCGCTTCCCCCTCCTGTTGCTGGGAGTGCACGTCTTGGGCGGGCAGGGGCCGCAGCTCCAGCATGAGGCACTGATGCGCGTCTGCCACGTCAGCTTGGTATGTTGTGGCCGTTGCACCTGCAACAGGGAGAGGGGGTGGGAGGGGACAGGGATTACGGTTAAGTGTGTGAAGGGATGGGAGGGGCCGCAACTCCACCGTGAGGCACTGATGTGCGACAGGAGGGGGGAGGGGTGGGGTATGGACTACGGCTTAGCACAGCGGCACTCACCGGGTATGGGTTGCGGATCCAAAGCATGGTATGGGGTGGGGATCCAAAGCGTGGAACCCCCCTGGGGCCACGCGGAACCACTGGATGCAGCAGAAGGAGGGTCGCAGCCAGGCAAAGGGGGGGGGACGGATGATAGGGGTACGGCACCTAACCTCGCACCTAACCTGAAGCACTCAGCGGGTATGGGGGGGTTCTAAGGCGTGGAACCCCCCTGGGGGCACGCGGAATCACTGGACGCAGCAGGAGGCGTGGGCACGGGCAGGCAGGCAAGGGGGGCCGGGGAGGAGGGTTTGGGGGTTTAGGGGGGCACTCACCGGGTATGGGCTGCGGATCCAAAGCGTGGAACCCCCCTGGAGGCACGCGGAACCACTGGATGCAGCAGGAGGACGGGCGCAGCCAGGCAGGGGCAGGGGGCGACGGCGGCAGGTGCAGGTGGAATAGCGACGTGTGGTAGGGCCCTCCTGATATGCGCAGCGCGGTGTGCTCTGAGTGTGCGGGGGTGGCTGCAGGGCGGAACCCTGCACTCTCCGCCTCTGCTGATGCTCTGCTCTCTCGCCTGCCTTCTCCCTCCCCCGCATACCCTCCCCCTATGCCTCCACGCACTTGCTCATGCCCTTCCCCCACGTGGCCTGCCTGGCCGTCCTGCCCTCCTTCACGCCCTCGTTGCTCATGCACTCCTCGTTCATGCCTGCCTTGTGCCGCTCCCCTGCCTCCCTCCAGCAGCACGGCCCCCTCGCCCTCACCCTGCTGCTGCGCCCCCTGCATGCCCCGTGCCTCCTCTGTGCCTGCAGCCTCTCCAGCAGCGCCCGCAGTGGCGGCACTGGTGGCAGCGGGAGCAGCCAGCAACGTTTCAGAGGCAGGCTGCCTGTCTGCATCGCCAGGGGAGGCTCCATGGGGCCCAGCAGCAGTCTCAGCAGCTGGGATGGCAGTCGCAGCCTCAGAGGGGGCTGAGAGGGCAAGGTTAGCAGGGGCAGCGATAGGTGTGGAAGTGGCAGGAGCGATGGGGGTGGCGGTGGTGGCAACAGAGTTGAATGAGCGCCCGAACGAGTCCAGCACGGTGGCGGAGCACAGCAGGTACGCGCCCACGTGGCGCGCCGTCACTGGCAGGCGCGCTGACGTGGCGCCGTCGATCGGGCGGTGCGAGTCGGAGCCGCTGCTGGCCTGCCACCTGGCGAGGATGGGATGAGCGGGAGAGGGGGGAGAGGTTTAGTGGCATGGGGAGGTGCGAGTCAGAGCCCCTGCTAGCCTGCCATCTGGTGGCGATTGATAGCACGTAGTACCCGTGATTGATTGCTTCATTTTCTATATGGGTGCGGATTGTTTCGCGTTTAGCGCTACCGACGGCCAGAACAATAATTTTGCTTTGCTATGGAGAGCACGTCTGTAAATATACTAACTCCAAAATGTGCTAGAAAGGCCGCGCCTTGGTCCGCGCGCGCGCCTTGGTCCGGGCGCGCGCCTTGGTCCGGGCGCGCGCCTTGGTCCAGGCACGCGAATGGCTGTGACGAATGGCTCAAGGGCAGGCGGAACAGCATGCAGGGCGTGCAGCACTAGAGTGGACTTCACCCATGGCGCACCAGTGCAGATGAGTCATCCAGCAGCCTGCTTACCATTGCATGTGGACAGCGGTGACAAACGGCTCGAGGGCAGGAGTCACGGAATGCAGGGTGTGCAGCAGTGGTGGGTAAACTCGACTCACAGCTCACCAACGCAAATGAGCTGGGCTCACCTGTGCCTGTGTTTCTGGGACTCACCACTGCATGTGAACAGCTGTGACGAATGGCTCCAGGGCGGGCGACACAGCATGCAGGGCGTGCAGTACTGCCCCCACCTCCGCCCGCCCCTCCACCTCCAGTGACACCGCCTCCTCGTCCGACAGCTCTGGTGTGCGGTGGTGAGGGGTGGTAATGGTTGGGAATGGTGGAGGGTGGTAAGGGGTGGTGGGTGGTGGTGGGGGGTGGGGTGGGATGGTGGAAGATGTTGGGGGCTGGTCGGGGTGGTGGGAGGTGGTGGGGACGAGGAGGCATAACAGAAGGCGAAGGGGGTATCAGCACAACACAGCCCCACCCATCAGCACAGCCCCACTCAGCGACACAGACAGACCCGTGCAAGGAAGGACTTACCTGGCAGCACGATGGGCCCCGGAGCAGAGAGCACCTCGTCGCCCCATGTGCCATCAGATAGCCACGGGCGACAGCTGGTGGGGTAGGGAGAGGGAGAGGGTGAGGGGGCAAGAAGGGGAATGGGGTTGGGAGTGGGTGGGGGACGATGTGACCCAGAGCAGAGAGCACTTCATCGACCCATGTGCCATCCGATAGCCACGGGCGACAGCTGGTGGGGTAGGGCAGGGGGGAGGGGGCGAGGAGGGAGTGTGGGAGGGAGTGGGGAACTGGTAAGGATAGAGAATGGTGCAGGCAGGAGTGTGAGAGTGGCACGGAGTGAGCAGTGGCATGGCATGCCACATACTCCTATTCAGCCATACAAGTCAACACAGCCCCAACGGATACCCACTCACCCCGCCATCACACAGCAGCCATAGTCAGCCTCCTGAGGCACGTACGTGCGCCCCTCTGCTCCCTCTATCCGCTCCATTCGCCCATCCCGCCCCTGCCTGTACCACACCACCCACCCTAAGGGACCCCACTCACCCCGCCACCACACAGCAACCATAGTCAGCCTCCTGTGGCGCGTACGTGCGCCCTTCCGCCCCCTCTATTCGCTTATTGAAGCGCACCAATACCAATATCCCCTCTCAATGAAACCAACTCACCCCGCCACCACACAGCAGCCGTAGTCAGCCTCCTGAGGCACGTACGTGCGCCCCTCCGCCCCCTCTATCCGCTCCATCCGCCCATCCCGCCCCTGCCTGTACCACACCACCCACACATCCCCCTCCCCCGCTCCCCCTTCTCCCCTTCCACCCTCCCCTGATCTCCCCTCCCCCAGCCCGCCTTCTCCCCCTCCCCTCTCCCCCGCTGCAGCACACTCTAGCATCTCCCCTCCTGCCTGCAATACGCCCCCCTCCAACACACTAATGCACACACGGCGGTCTGTAAGGCAGGGGAGGAAGAAAGCAGGGGCGTGGGGGGCCACGGGAGTGGGGGAGTGGCGGAGCAGGGGGGAGTCAGAAACAGGAAGAGCAGGTGAGCGGCCGGTGGCAAATGTGGGCTACCTTATCCATCTCAAATGTGGGCTACCTTATCCATCTCAAATGTGGGCTACCTTATCCATCTCAAATGTGGGCTACCTTATCCATCTCAAATGTGGGCTACCTTATCCATCTCAAATGTGGGCTACCTTATCCATCTCAAATTGCAACAGCAGCCGTGACGTGCATGCATGGTGTGCCTGTGGCAGCTTTCAAGCAGCAGCCATGAAGCTGTCTGTGCTTCATGGCTTATCCAGCACAGTTATTGCTGAGCACCTGGTGCGACTGTGCTGGTGGTGAGTGCAGCCGCCTCCCCAAGAGCCCCATCAGCCCACACAGGAGTGACTGTAGCAGCGACAGCCAGAAAGGAGGGTACCTGGTGTGACTGTATCGGTGGTGACAGCAGCCACCTCCCCAACGACCCCATCGGTCCGCACAGGAGTGAACTCCACTCGCAGCCGACTCCCCACGTCCTCTGCTGTCACTGTGTACGTGCCTGCAGGTGTTACGCAGGGGATAGGGGGGGTAGGGAGGCAGGCAGGGCGAGAGGAAACCTTCAGTCAGAGAGGCGCCTCAGAAATGGGTGCAAACCTCCCCAGCAGCCCCATCGGCCCGCACAGGAGTGAACTCCACTCGCAGCCGACTCCCCACGTCCTCTGTTGTTACCCTGTACGTGCCTGCACAGGACAGGGGGGGGCGGTTAGGCAGAGAGGCACGCAGGGCGGGGAGATCGTTCAAAGTTGTGTGTACGGCTCGGAAAGAGGCAGCTCAAAGACAGAGTGCGTCCTCCCCTGACACCGTGGAGTGAACTCCACTTGCAGCCGCCTCCCCACGTCCTCTGCTGTCACCGTGTGTGTACCAGCATGGGAGGCGGTAGGGAGGGATGGACGCAGCACGTGGGTATGGATCAATTCAGAGTGCGTATTCCGGGTCAAAATCCCCGCACCTGCAACTCATAGTTTCTCACCTTGCCGCCCAACGAGCTGCTCCTCCCCTGTGGCCGCCACTCTCACCCATGCCACCCGGCACTCGCCCTGCTGCCTGCACGCATAGGAAGGGCAGATTCCGGGGGGGCGGATGGGGCATGCGTGGGAGGCAGACGGGGCACACAGGGGGAGGGGGGCGCATGGAGGAGGGCGGATGGGGTACATGAGAAAACAAGCAGCAGGGGACAGAGAGGGAGAAAAGCTGTAGTGCTTGCAGACATGCACAGCACAGGCAGGGCGAAGCACAGGCAGGGCGAAGCAAAGGCAGGGCGAAGCACATTACCCGCCATGGTAGAGCGCTCGACAGGTGAGCTGCCCTCCCAGCCTCACATTGCCCTCCACTGCCAGATGCACACACGCTGGGGGGGCTGTGAGGGCGGAGGGGGGGAGGTGGGGGGGAGGAGGCGAGGGTAAGGAGAAGAATGGAGGAGGTGAGTGCGTGAAAGGACCCCTCCCAGCCTCACATCGCCATCCGCTGCCAGATGCACATACGCTGGGGGGGCTGTGAGGGCGGAGGGGGGGGGAGAGGGGGATGACAAGGGGGGAGAAAAGTGGAGAGGAGAGAAACTTTGGAAGTGGGCTGAAGCGTGTAGCGATGAGCCGTAGCACTAAGATGAACACACAACAAGAAGAGAGCTGGCAGCCACTTGTTCACCTCCAGCCCCTCTCGCCCCTCCTTGCCTCTTTCCCTCCTTTGCCTCCTACCTGCCATGACGGGCCCCACAGGACTGCTCTCCACGGCCGCGCCCTCCTCCCCATCGTCCCGCACCCCGTGCTGCCCTCTACCATCCACACCCCTAGCTGTCTTCTCTCTTCACCCTCTCCCCCACTCACCCCTCCACCAGCAAACTCTACCTGCCATGATGGGTCCCCCAGGACTGCTCTCCACAGCAGCGCCCTCCTCCCCATCGCCCCTCACCCCATGCAGTCCTATCTCCCTCCAACCCAGGTGAGCAGCCTCCCACCTTCCCCTGCTGCCATTCCCATACCCTACCCCTCCTCTTGCCTCACCTGCCTACCCTACCCTTTGCCGCGTCCCCTACCTGGACTGCTCATCCCATGATAGGTCCCATCCCACAGGACTGCTCTCAACAGCAGCGCCCCCCTCCTCCCCATCGCCCCTCACCCCGTGCAGTCCTATCTCCCCTTGCTGCTGCCGTCCTACCCCCCCTCGCCTCTCCCTTACCCCTTACTTGGCATGGTGGGTCCCACAGGACTGCTCTCCACAGCAGCGCCCTCCTCCCCGTCGTCTCTCACAGGCACGCACACCACCACCACCACCCTGTTCCTGTTCTAACCCCTTCTTCCCTTGCCAGCCCCCCTCCCTTGCCCCCTTACCTGGCATGATAGGTCCCACAGGACTGCTCTCGACAGCCGCGCCCTCCTCCCCATCATCCCTCACCCCCTGCCAGCCCCTCTCACCGCACCCCTTCCTGCCTCTTCTCCCCATCCCCTCCCCCTTCTTTGCATTGCTCCTTACCTGGCATGATGGGTCCCACGGGACTGCTCTCAACAGCCGCGCCCTCCTCCCCATCATCCCTCACTGGGACACACACCACCATCACCACCCGCCCCACCTCCTCCGCCCCCACTCGCAGCCCCCCCTCCTCCTCCTCCCCCTCCTCCTCCCCCCCCCCGCCCTGTTCTAGCCCCCCCTCTCCCCCTAGCGCGCCTGCTGGGTGAATGCGGCGCTTGTCACTCATGTCGGGCAGCATCTGCAGGGATGGAGTGCGGTGGGGATGGGTGGGGAAGGGGGTTGGGGAGGAAGGTTGTTGGGGTCAAGTCAGGCCAGATAGGAAGGTGAGTGGTGATCATGTGGGTGCTAACAAATGAGTGGCAGAGCTCAGTAATTAGCAGCATGCTGGGCTGGCGGCCCAAACGAAGCAAGCCTACAAGCCAGCCAGTGCAGATGGAGAGGGACAAGGGAATCTGCTCACACATACCAAGAACCATTGCACACGCGTGTTGTCCTGCCTGCCGCCCGCATACGGAAGGACAAGTGGATGCAGCGAAGGTTCTCTAACCAAGAGCGCACGTGTTCTCCCTGCCAATTTCTGAGGTGCCTATAGATTCGTTGTGCAATAAGGGACTCGCACGTACCGAGAACCACTGCACCCACGTGTTCCCCTGCCTGCCGCCCGCATACAGATGGGCAAGTGGATGAAGTATATGTGTGCTCTCCTGCCGATTCCTAAGGCGTCTCAACAATCACTGCACAGCACGTACCGAGAACCATTGCACGCGTGTGTTCCCCTGTCTGCCGCCCGCATACGTCCACCTGGGCACCAGCCGCCCGCCCTCCACCAGATCGCCCTCCACCCACACGTCACTAACGGACGGCAGCGCCGCCCGGATCGGGCCGGCCGTGCAGACAGCCTGGGGGGTGCCGACCGCCCCGTCGGATCGCACAGGGGTGACGCGGAAGGAGAGGAAGCAGCCCACGTCGCTAGCGGACGGAACATGCCGACTCATGCCGCCCCCTGCCATCCGCGGCTGCTCGCCGTCCTCGTCTTCTACCAACTCGCCGTGTGGCCCCGGCTGGCCATCCTCGTCCTGGGCGGCAGAGAGGGGGGGTGGGTGGTTGGGTGGTTGGAACTTAGAAGGTGGTGGCTGGGAAAAGGGGAAGTGCTGTCAATCACTGCATTTTCGCTACTGCTCACCGCATTACACCACTGCCCACCGCATTTCCCCACTGCTCACCGCATTTCAATGCCACTCACCGCATATCGGTACCACTCGAGCAGCGAGTCCCCCTCGGCCCCTCCCTGGTACGTGTAATACCCCACCAGCACACCCCCCTCCTCCTCCTCCCCCTCCATGTCCGCACTCAGCACCTGCGGCTCGCCCTCTGGGCGGGAGGAGAGAGGGTAGAAGGAGCAGGGAAGGGCAATGCAGTGCAGGGAAGGGCAATGCAGAGCAGGGAAGGGCAATGCAGTGCAGTGAAGGGCAATGCAGTGCAGGGAAGGGCAATGCAGTGCAGTGAAGGGCAATGCAGTGCAGGGGAGGGCAATGCAGTGCAGGGGAGGGCAATGCAGAGCAGGGAAAAGAGTGAATCTGAAGCCTGTCCCAGCAGAGGACACGGCCACCGGCCACCAAGGTCAAGGGGCGACACTTGACGCCATCTGCCCTCACTGGCACCAACCGGTCATGCCATCCACGCGCCCACCTGTGACCGCACTGCACTAGTACACAGGCCTACCATTCACACACCTGTGACCGCACTGCACTAGTACACAGGCCTACCATTCACCCACCTGTGACCGCACTGCACTAGTACACAGGCCTACCATTCACACACCTGTGACCGCACTGCACTAGTACACAGGCCTACCATTCACCCACCTGTGACCGCACTGCACTAGTACACAGGCCTACCATTCACACACCTGTGACCGCACTGCACTAGTACACAGGCCTACCATTCACACACCTGTGACCGCACTGCACTAGTACACAGGCCTACCATTCACCCACCTGTGACCGCACTGCACTAGTACACAGGCCTACCATTCACACACCTGTGACCGCACTGCACTAGTACACAGGCCTACCATTCACACACCTGTGACCGCACTGCACTAGTACACAGGCCTACCATTCACACACCTGTGACCGCACTGCACTAGTACACAGGCCTACCATTCACCCACCTGTGACCGCACTGCACTAGTACACAGGCCTACCATTCACCCACCTGTGACCGCACTGCACTAGTACACAGGCCTACCATTCACACACCTGTGACCGCACTGCACTAGTACACAGGCCTACCATTCACCCACCTGTGACCGCACTGCACTAGTACACAGGCCTACCATTCACCCACCTGTGACCGCACTGCACTAGTACACAGGCCTACCATTCACACACCTGTGACCGCACTGCACTAGTACACAGGCCTACCATTCCACACACCTGTGACCGCACTGCACTAGTACACAGGCCTACCATTCACCCACCTGTGACCGCACTGCACTAGTACACAGGCCTACCATTCACCCACCTGTGACCGCACTGCACTAGTACACAGGCCTACCATTCACCCACCTGTGACCGCACTGCACTAGTACACAGGCCTACCATTCACACACCTGTGACCGCACTGCACTAGTACACAGGCCTACCATTCACCCACCTGTGACCGCACTGCACTAGTACACAGGCCTACCATTCACCCACCTGTGACCGCACTGCACTAGTACACAGGCCTACCATTCACACACCTGTGACCGCACTGCACTAGTACACAGGCCTACCATTCACACACCTGTGACCGCACTGCACTAGTACACAGGCCTACCATTCACCCACCTGTGACCGCACTGCACTAGTACACAGGCCTACCATTCACCCACCTGTGACCGCACTGCACTAGTACACAGGCCTACCATTCACACACCTGTGACCGCACTGCACTAGTACACAGGCCTACCATTCACCCACCTGTGACCGCACTGCACTAGTACACAGGCCTACCATTCACACACCTGTGACCGCACTGCACTAGTACACAGGCCTACCATTCACCCACCTGTGACCGCACTGCACTAGTACACAGGCCTACCATTCACCCACCTGTGACCGCACTGCACTAGTACACAGGCCTACCATTCACACACCTGTGACCGCACTGCACTAGTACACAGGCCTACCATTCACCCACCTGTGACCGCACTGCACTAGTACACAGGCCTACCATTCACCCACCTGTGACCGCACTGCACTAGTACACAGGCCTACCATTCACCCACCTGTGACCGCACTGCACTAGTACACAGGCCTACCATTCACCCACCTGTGACCGCACTGCACTAGTACACAGGCCTACCATTCACACACCTGTGACCGCACTGCACTAGTACACAGGCCTACCATTCACACACCTGTGACCGCACAGCACTAGTACACAGGCCTACCATTCACCCACCTGTGACCGCACTGCACTAGTACACAGGCCTACCATTCACACACCTGTGACCGCACTGCACTAGTACACAGGCCTACCATTCACACACCTGTGACCGCACTGCACTAGTACACAGGCCTACCATTCACACACCTGTGACCGCACTGCACTAGTACACAGGCCTACCATTCACACACCTGTGACCGCACTGCACTAGTACACAGGCCTACCATTCACACACCTGTGACCGCACTGCACTAGTACACAGGCCTACCATTCACACACCTGTGACCGCACTGCACTAGTACACAGGCCTACCATTCACCCACCTGTGACCGCACTGCACTAGTACACAGGCCTACCATTCACACACCTGTGACCGCACTGCACTAGTACACAGGCCTACCATTCACACACCTGTGACCGCACTGCACTAGTACACAGGCCTACCATTCACACACCTGTGACCGCACTGCACTAGTACACAGGCCTACCATTCACCCACCTGTGACCGCACTGCACTAGTACACAGGCCTACCATTCACACACCTGTGACCGCACTGCACTAGTACACAGGCCTACCATTCACCCACCTGTGACCGCACTGCACTAGTACACAGGCCTACCATTCACACACCTGTGACCGCACTGCACTAGTACACAGGCCTACCATTCACACACCTGTGACCGCACTGCACTAGTACACAGGCCTACCATTCACCCACCTGTGACCGCACTGCACTAGTACACAGGCCTACCATTCACACACCTGTGACCGCACTGCACTAGTACACAGGCCTACCATTCACACACCTGTGACCGCACTGCACTAGTACACAGGCCTACCATTCACACACCTGTGACCGCACTGCACTAGTACACAGGCCTACCATTCACCCACCTGTGACCGCACTGCACTAGTACACAGGCCTACCATTCACACACCTGTGACCGCACTGCACTAGTACACAGGCCTACCATTCACACACCTGTGACCGCACTGCACTAGTACACAGGCCTACCATTCACACACCTGTGACCGCACTGCACTAGTACACAGGCCTACCATTCACACACCTGTGACCGCACTGCACTAGTACACAGGCCTACCATTCACACACCTGTGACCGCACTGCACTAGTACACAGGCCTACCATTCACACACCTGTGACCGCACTGCACTAGTACACAGGCCTACCATTCACCCACCTGTGACCGCACTGCACTAGTACACAGGCCTACCATTCACACACCTGTGACCGCACTGCACTAGTAGACAGGCCTACCATTCACCCACCTGTGACCGCACTGCACTAGTACACAGGCCTACCATTCACCCACCTGTGACCGCACTGCACTAGTACACAGGCCTACCATTCACCCACCTGTGACCCGCACTGCACTAGTACACAGGCCTACCATTCACCCACCTGTGACCGCACTGCACTAGTACACAGGCCTACCATTCACCCACCTGTGACCGCACTGCACTAGTACACAGGCCTACCATTCACCCACCTGTGACCGCACTGCACTAGTACACAGGCCTACCATTCACACACCTGTGACCGCACTGCACTAGTACACAGGCCTACCATTCACACACCTGTGACCGCACTGCACTAGTACACAGGCCTACCATTCACCCACCTGTGACCGCACTGCACTAGTACACAGGCCTACCATTCACCCACCTGTGACCGCACTGCACTAGTACACAGGCCTACCATTCACACACCTGTGACCGCACTGCACTAGTACACAGGCCTACCATTCACACACCTGTGACTGCAGCAGAGGACACGGCGACCACAGGCCTGCCCTTGACCCCATCTGCCCGCACCGGCACCAGCCGCACTGCCAGGTGCGACCCTATGGCCTCCAGAGGCACTGTGAGGGCCTGATGGGGTTAGAGAAACGACCAACGAAAGGGGCCAGAAGGGGGAAAGGAGAGAAGGGATCTCGAAGCTGATAATCCAATCCCGCATCAGACTCTGGCACCAGCCGCACTGCCCCGTGCGACCCCATGGCCTCCAGAGGCACTGTGAGGGCCTGGTGGGATTATAGGTGGTTGGACTAGGGATGGGCATTTGGCCCGGACGGGTCGGGTTACCCGACCCGACCCGCCTAAAATGGCGGGTCGGGTCAGGAATGCTGAGAATGTCGACCCGTCCGGGTCGGGTCGGGTTTACCCGGGCGGGTCGGGTCGACCCGTGACCCGTCAATGTGACTTATAGACGGGTATCAGCGACCCGCCGGGTCGGGTTGACCCGTCCCGTCCGGGTCGCATACCCAGTCAAATGACAGGGTTACCCGACCCGTTCTCTGCTTAGGGTACAATTTGGAGAGGGGGGAAACATCAGTTGGTTTTGATGTTTTGTTTCCCTCGACATTCAGATCCAGTCTCTAATCAAGTTAGTAAATCTCCACTGCACCTACCAAAACTCTTACAGTCTTCACTTCAATGTTAGCACTATTTTAATATTTATATTCATTATAGGCATAGGCGCTCCTGCCATTACGCAGTGTCGCACGACCAGGGGCGCAGCAGCGCACTCGCGGCCACGCATTGGCAGGATCGCGGCCACGCATTGGCAGGATCGTGTCCCCGCAATAGCGCGATCTCGGCCCCGCATTTGCGCAGCGCGATCGCGGCACCACATTAGGGCAGCGCGATCGCGGCCACGCATTGGCGGGATCGCATCCCCGCAATAGCGCGATAGCGGCCTTGCAGTAGCGCGAACGCCACCAGCCAGAATCGCGGTCTCCAACCTCCAGCATCGCGAACGCCACCTGGAGCAGCGCCAAGGCGCCACCATACCCTGCTGCTATGTAGCATGTTTTGATCCGACCCGACCCGACCCGTGGTGTAACCGACCCGGTTACGGGTCACAAATACCCGTTCCAACGGGGCGGGTCGGGTCACCAAAACAGAGTCAAACCCGACCCGCTAACCCGACCCGACCCGACCCGTTAAGCTAACGGGTCGCCCTAAACGGGACGGGTCGGGCCGGGTCGGGCCAGATGCCCATGCCTAGGTTGGACGGAGGGAGAGAAAGTGGAAAGGAAGTGGGGCGTGTGGGTGAAGAACCATTCCACCTCACTGGGCCCCTCCTCTTGAGGCCCCTCCTCTTGAGGCCCCTCCTCTTGAGGCCCCTCCTCTTGAGGCCCCTCAGATCCCTCCCTTCTCCGCCCCCTGCACCCCCTTGTTGCGGCTCCTGGCACTCACCATGGAGTTGGGTGTTTCAGAGATGATGGGTTGCAGATTCGAAGTTAAAAGGGAGTGCAGTGTGTGAGTGAAGAACCAAGCCACCCACCGCACTGCACCCCACTGGGCTGCACCACACCCCATTGCACTCACCATGGAGTTGGGGGTCTCAGCAGTGATGGGCTGAAGGTCCGCAGTTGAAAGGGAGTGGGGCGTGTGAGTGAAGAACCACTCCACCTCGCTGCGCCCCTCCTCGGCCCATTGCAACCGCACTCGCACCCGCACCTCCCCACCCTCCACCAGCGGCCCCTCAATCGCCAAATCGCTCGCCCGCGGCAGCGCTGGTGGAGGATGGGTGGGGAGGAAAGGGAGTGCGAAAGAGGGAAGAGGGGCTGTGAGTGTGAAGAGCCATTCTCCCACGCTGTGCCCCTCCTCTGCCCATTGCAACCGTGCCCGCACCCGCACCTCCCCGCCTTCCACCCGTCCGTACCTCTCCTCCCTCCACCAGTGGCCCCTCATCGCCACGTCGCTGCCATGGGGTAGGGCTGATGGTGAGGTGCAGGTTGGAAGTGCAGGTTTGAGGTGCAGGTTTGACGTGCAGGTTTGACGTGCAGGTTTGAGTTGCAGGTTTGAGGTGCAGGTTTGAGGTGCAGGTTGGAGGTGCAGGTTTGAGGTGCAGGTTTGAGGTGCAGGTTTGAGGTGCAGGCTTGAGGTGCAGATTTGAGGTGCAGGTTTGAGGTGCAGGTTTGAGGTGCAGGCTTGAGGTGCAGGTTTGAGGTCCAGGTTGGAGGTGCAGGTTGGAGGTGCAGGTTTGACGTGCAGGTTTGACGTGCAGGTTTGACGTGCAGGTTTGAGGTGCAGGTTTGAGGTGCAGGTTTGAGGTGCAGGTTTGAGGTGCAGGTTGGAGGTGCAGGTTTGAGGTGCAGGTTTGAGGTGCAGGTTGGAGGTGCAGGTTTGACGTGCAGGTTTGAGGTCCAGGTTGGAGGTGCAGGTTGGAGGTGCAGGTTTGACATGCAGGTTTGAGGTGCAGGTTTGAGGTGCAGGTTTGAGGTGCAGGTTTGAGGTGCAGGTTTGAGGTGCAGGTTTGAGGTGCAGGCTTGAGGTGCAGGTTTGAGGTGCAGGTTGGAGGTGCAGGTTTGACGTGCAGGTTTGACGTGCAGGTTTGAGGTGCAGGTTTGAGGTGCAGGCTTGAGGTGCAGGTTTGAGGTCCAGGTTGGAGGTGCAGGTTGGAGGTGCAGGTTTGACGTGCAGGTTTGACGTGCAGGTTTGAGGTGCAGGTTTGAGGTGCAGGTTTGAGGTGTCGGTTTGAGGTGCAGGTTTGAGGTGCAGGTTTGAGGTGCAGGCTTGAGGTGCAGGTTTGAGGTGCAGGTTGGAGGTGCAGGTTTGACGTGCAGGTTTGACGTGCAGGTTTGAGGTGCAGGTTTGAGGTGCAGGTTTGAGGTGCAGGTTTGAGGTGCAGGTTTGAGGTGCAGGTTTGAGGTGCAGGCTTGAGGTGCAGGTTTGAGGTGCAGGTTGGAGGTGCAGGTTTGACGTGCAGGTTTGACGTGCAGGTTTGAGGTGCAGGTTTGAGGTGCAGGTTTGAGGTGCAGGTTTGAGGTGCAGGTTTGAGGTGCAGGTTTGAGGTGCAGGTTTGACGTGCAGGTTTGAGGTGCAGGTTGGAGGTGCAGGTTTGAGGTGCAGGTTTGAGGTGCAGACTGGAGGTGCAGGTTGGAGGTGCAGGTTTGAGGTGCAGGTTGGAGGTGCAGGTTTGAGGTGCAGGTTTGAGGTGCAGGTTTGAGGTGCAGGTTTGAGGTGCAGGTTTGAGGTGCAGGTTTGAGGTGCAGGTTGGAGGTGCAGGTTTGACGTGCAGGTTTGACGTGCAGGTTTGAGGTGCAGGTTTGAGGTGCAGGTTTGAGGTGCAGGTTTGAGGTGCAGGCTTGAGGTGCAGGCTGGAGGTGCAGGTTGGAGGTGCAGGTTTGAGGTGCAGGTTGGAGGTGCAGGTTTGAGGTGCAGGTTGGAGGTGCAGGTTTGAGGTGCAGGTTGGAGGTGCAGGTTGGAGGTGCAGGTTTGAGGTGCAGGTTGGAGGTGCAGGTTTGAGGTGCAGGTTTGAGGTGCAGGTTTGAGGTGCAGGCTTGAGGTGCAGGTTTGAGGTGCAGGTTGGAGGTGCAGGTTTGAGGTGCAGGTTTGAGGTGCAGGTTGGAGGTGCAGGTTTGAGGTGCAGGTTTGAGGTGCAGGCTGGAGGTGCAGGTTGGAGGTGCAGGTTTGAGGTGCAGGTTGGAGGTGCAGGTTTGAGGTGCAGGTTGGAGGTGCAGGTTGGAGGTGCAGGTTTGAGGTGCAGGTTTGAGGTGCAGGCTTGAGGTGCAGGTTTGACGTGCAGGTTGGAGGTGCAGGTTTGAGGTGCAGGTTTGACGTGCAGGTTTGAGGTGCAGGTTGGAGGTGCAGGTTTGAGGTGCAGGTTTGAGGTGCAGGCTGGAGGTGCAGGTTGGAGGTGCAGGTTTGAGGTGCAGGTTGGAGGTGCAGGTTTGAGGTGCAGGTTGGAGGTGCAGGTTGGAGGTGCAGGTTTGAGGTGCAGGTTGGAGGTGCAGGTTTGAGGTGCAGGTTTGAGGTGCAGGTTGGAGGTGCAGGTTTGAGGTGCAGGTTGGAGGTGCAGGTTTGAGGTGCAGGTTTGAGGTGCAGGTTTGAGGTGCAGGTTTGAGGTGCAGGTTTGAGGTGCAGGTTTGACGAGCAGGTTTGAGGTGCAGGTTTGAGGTGCAGGTTTGAGGTGCAGGTTGGAGGTCCAGGTTTGAGGTGCAGGTTGGAGGTGCAGGTTTTGAGGTGCAGGTTGGAGGTGCAGGTTGAGGTGCAGGTTTGGAGGTGCAGGTTTGAGGTGCAGGTTTGAGGTGCAGGTTGAGGTGCAGGCTTGAGGTGCAGGTTTGAGGTGCAGGTTGGAGGTGCAGGTTTGAGGTGCAGGTTTGACGTGCAGGTTTGAGGTGCAGGTTGGAGGTGCAGGTTTGAGGTCCAGGTTTGAGGTGCAGGCTGGAGGTGCAGGTTGGAGGTGCAGGTTTGAGGTGCAGGTTGGAGGTGCAGGTTTGAGGTGCAGGTTGGAGGTGCAGGTTGGATGTGCAGGTTTGAGGTGCAGGTTGGAGGTGCAGGTTTGAGGTGCAGGTTGGAGGTGCAGGTTTGAGGTGCAGGTTGGAGGTGCAGGTTTGAGGTGCAGGTTTGAGGTGCAGGTTGAGGTGCAGGGTTTGAGGTGCAGGTTTGAGGTGCAGGTTTGAGGTGCAGGTTTGACGAGCAGGTTTGAGGTGCAGGTTTGAGGTGCAGGTTTGAGGTGCAGGTTTGACGTGCAGGTTTGAGGTGCAGGTTTGAGGTGCAGGTTTGAGGTGCCGGTTTGAGGTGCAGGTTTGAGGTGCAGGTTTGACGTGCAGGTTTGAGGTCCAGGTTTGAGGTGCAGGTTTGAGGTGCAGGTTTGACGTGCAGGTTTGTGGTGCAGGTTTGAGGTGCAGGTTTGAGGTGCAGGTTTGAGGTGCAGGTTTGGATGCGGGTGGTATTGTCCTTGCCACCCAACTTCAACCCGACAAAAACGCAATTTACCTTAAGAAGAAAACGAAGGATGATTGGACTGAACTAGGTTGCGTAGACCTCCTAGAAAACAACAAAAAAAAAAATGGTACTACTTCTCAGATCTGGAAAGGAGGAAAACCAGATCTGAATTTTTGAAAATTCTGGCATTTGTACCCCACCTCTGGTGGGACATTTGAAGCGCGTGAGTTTGTTTAAGACTCGCATACGATACATAAATCCCGCGAGTCTAAAAAAATCCGAGTTTTTTCATGAGTTTTTTGTACCTCGGAAGTAAAACTCGACTCGGGCCGAGTTTTTTTGCCAAAAACACGAACTTGAAACTCAAGCTTTTTGAGTCCCTCAAACGAGTCGAGGAAAAACTAGACTCGTTTGCCCATGTACCCGACAGAGTAGGGCGAGGTAGGGAAAACCAGGAAAAGGGAAGGCAAGGGAAAGCAGGGGGACGAAAACAGAGGGGAATGGCAAGGAAAGGCAGGACAGGAAGGGACGGGAAGGCAAGGATGGGATGGAAAAGGCTGGGAAAGGCAGGGCAGGAAGTGAAGGGAAGCAAAGGGAGGGAAGGGCACGTACGGAGGCAGATGATAGGCGAGCGCGCTGTGACTGGCTCTCCGATCAGACCTGCTCAGTGGTACAGAGATGCGGTGATGAGGAGTGGGATGAGGTGACAAGGGGTAACTGACAAGGGGTTGTTGAGACGAGAAATGCATGCAGAAACCCGATGCAGTGGGATGAGGGACGAATGACCTGGATGGAACCACCTGGAACCACATGAAATTATTTGAAGGCGAGCGGTGTGTAGCGCAGCAGCACACAGCACCAGCAGCACAACCCATGTGTATGCTGTGCATCACCTGAGGAGGGCGACTGGCGTGTAGCGCAGCAGCAGGTAGCAGCCCACATCGTCCGCCTGCACTGCGTACTCTCTGCCCTCGCCCACTGGCACTAGTCTGAGGAGGGGAAAGGAGAGAGGGTGGTGGGAAGAGTGGATGGAGAGGGTTGCACCTCACCAAACAACACCACACCCCCTCACACCACTCATACCACCCCAGCACCACCCATAACACCCCAGCACCACCCATAACACCCCAGCAGCACCCATAACACCCCAGCACCACCCACGCCCCACTCACTCACCGCAAACGACCACTGTTGCTACCAGCACCGGCCGCACTCCTTCCGTCTTCCCCCTCCTCCAACCCCCCCTCCGCCTTCCCCCCCTCCTCCAACCCCCCCTCCGCCTTCCCCCCCTCCTCCCGGAACCACTGCAGCAAACTCGCCCCCTCTGCTCCCCCAAAATAAGTTTCCCCTCGCCCCGCAGCACTCCCCCCAGCAGCGCCTCCCCCTCCACTGCCACCTGCTGCACCTGGGGGGGCGCTGGATGGGGGGAGGGGGAAGGGCGTAGAGGGAAACGGGGGGGAAGCATGGGGGGGAGCATGGGGAGAGAGTGAGCCCGCATAGGTATAGCATCACCTGCAGCACTCCCCCCAGCAGCGCCTCCCCCTCCACCACCACCTGCTGCACCTGGGGGGGCGCTGGAGAAAGAAGGAAGAGAGGGAGGGGGAAGGGGAAGGAGATGAGCCGGCATAAATAAGCATAGACTCGCCCGCAGCGCTCCCCCCAGCAGTGCTTCCCCCTCCACCGCCACCTGCTGCAACCTGGGGGGGCGCTGGAGGGGGGAGGGGGGAAGGGCGTGGGGGGGAAGCGTGGAGGGAAGCATGGGGGGAAGCATGGGGATAAGAGTGGGGGCGAAAGTGAGCTATCATAGGCATAAGAAATCCCCCAGCAGCACTCCTCTGCGCCCACTCCACCAAGCAGCCACTCTCACCAAGCAGCCACTCTCACCAGCAGCAATGGGGGGAGAGGTGGCAGAGGCGGGTTCCCCCCTCACACCCTGCAGCAGACACCGGGGTGAAGGCGAGCTGCAGCACACACCCACCGCTCCCCACCCCTCTGCACCCATTCTCACCGGCAGCAATGGGGGGAGAAGGTGGCGGAGGCGGGTTCCCCCCTCACCCCTGCAGCAGACACCGGGGTGAAGGCGAGCTGCAGCACACAACCCCACGTCGTGCAGTGAGAGGGGAGTACTCCTCCCCACCCCTCTGCACCTCCTCCTTGTTGTCCCGCCCTGAGCTGTGGGTGCCAAGCGGGTCCAGCTGACAGGTGGGGGGTGGGGATGGGAGGAGGGGTGTAGAGAAAGGAGGAAGAGGAGGCGTTGGTTTGGGAGGGACAGGGGAGGGGGCGAGAACAAGCGCAGGGTAAGGTTGGGTGGGTGGGTAGGGAAAGTGCAACGAAGGAGAAAAAAGCCTAGGGGAGGGGCAACCGAGAGGGAGAATCTTGAAGCATCTTGGAGGTTTTACTGCACTGCACTGTCCTAGCTAGCACCTGTACTGGCATGGCCCCCCTCCCACCTGTACTGGCACGGCCCTGGCTCACCCGAGCTCCACCCCACCTCCACCATGGCTGTCAGCAGCACACCGCCCTCACACCCCTAAAGATCTGTGCTCAATACTCCACCTTGGCAGTCAAAGGCTGGGTATCCTCTCTATCACTCGCACCTGTACTGCATGGGCAACCCTCTCCCTCCTTCTCACCTGTACTGGCACGGCCCTGGCTCGCCCGAGCTCCACCCCACCTCCACCATGGGCAGTCAGCACGTCCCCCTCCCCCGCCTCCCCTCCCAGCGACACATGGTGCACTCGTGGTATGCCCGGGCCTGCATGGATGCACACTACACACATGCATTCAATGCAAGATAAAACACACATCAGACTGAGACAGAGAACACACACACACACACAGTCTCCTCGCCAAGCCCCACCTCCCACCGCCGCCCAGCGACACATGGTGCACTCGTGGTATGCCGGGACCTCTGTGGGGAGCATAATGAAGGGAGGCAAGTCAGTCCATGAGAGATTCAAACACACATGTGCACACCCACACGTAGGCTCCACCACCTCCCCTCCCAGCAACATGTGCTGCACTTGGCGGGATGCCGGGACCTGTGTGGGGGCAGTGGTTGCATGGAGGCCGTCAGTCGTGAGAGGTTCAAACACAGATGCGCAAGCACACACACAGATGCGCAAGCAACAAACACAGATGCGCAAGCACAAACACAGATGCGCAAGCACACACACAGATGCGCAAGCACACACCAACACAGATGGCGCAAGGCACACACACATATGCGCAAGCACACACACAGATGCGCAGCACACACACAGATGCTCAAAGCACACACACAGATGCGCAAGCACAAACACAGATGCGCAAGCACACACACAGATGCGGCTAAGCAACAAACAGATGCGCAAGCACAAACACAGATGCGCAAGCACAAACACAGATGCGCAGCACACACACAGATGCGCAAGCACACACACAGATGCGCAAGCACACACACAGATGCGCAAGCACACACACAGATGCGCAAGCACACACACAGATGCGCAAGCACACACACAGAATGCGCAAGCACACACACACATGCCGCAAGCACCAAACACAACAAATACACATACAGCAGCAGTCAGCACACCCCCCATCCACCGCCTCCCCTCCCATAGGTGACGCTCATGGACATGGTGACCCGCTCATGGTCACCTGCTCATCCCAGCGACACATGCTGCACTCGCGGAATGCCGGGACCTGTGTGCAGGAATGCATGTGCATGGGACCATGGATGCATGGTGCATAAGTGCATGGGTGCATGGGTGAGGTGAGGGGTATTCACCTACCAGGGGCCACTGGCGGCGTGGTGAGGAGGAGGGGCGTGCAGGGCTGGGCGTGGAGCAGCGGGGTGCAGCGCACAGCGAGACACCACACGACCTCACAGCATGGCACATACATACACTGGTCGTCTCTGGTGTTGAATTGGGAACATACCAGGGATGACTGGCGGCGTGGTGAGGAGGAGTGGCGTGCAGGGCTGGCCGTGGTAGTGGGAACACACACCTCCTCATGGGAGTGGGTGGGAGAGGGAACGTACCAGGGGCGACTGGTGGAGAGGTGAGGAGGAGTGGCGTGCAGGGTGGCCGTGGAGCAGCGGGGTGCAGCACACAGCGAGACACGCATGCACGTCTGAGAAAACACAACCCCTGGGAGTGGGAGAGGGGACCTACCAGGGACGACCAGCGGCGTGGTGAGGATAAGGGGCGTGCAGGGCTGGCCGTGGAGCAGCGGGGTGCAGCGCACAGCGAGACACGCATGCACGTCTGAGAAGGAGGGCGTGTAGACCTGGTGAGATGGGCGACAGGGTGGTGGGATGGGCGACAGGGTGGTGAGATGGGCGACAGGGTGGTGAGATGGGCGACAGGGTGGTGGGATGGGCGACAGGTGGTGGGATGGGCGACAGGGTGGTGGGATGGGCGACAGGGTGGTGGGATGGGCGACAGGGTGGTGGGATGGGCGACAGGGTGGTGGGATGGGCGACAGGGTGGTGGGATGGAGGGACGGGTGTGGGAAGGACGGACGGTGAGTGACACGCGCACGTCTGAGAAGGAGGGCGTGTACATCTGGTGGGATGAGATGAGAGAGGGTGGACAGTAAGCTTATTGAGAAATACGACAAGGCATGGAGGCAAAAGGTGCACCGCACAGCAAGGCATGCATGCACATCTGAGAAGGGGTGTGTGTAGTGAGATGGGTTGGGATTTGATGAATGTTGTGGGCCAAGGCCAGTGTAGTGTAGCAGTGGTTGTGATGAGCAGGATATAGCAATGGCTATGGTGGCCCAAAGGGTGGGAGGGTGGGCAGTGGCGAAAGAGAACACATGGCCCTCCCACTTTCTTATCGCCCTGAAATTTTTCAAAGATGCCTCCTCACCTCCCCCTCAGCATCGGGAATGGCGCTGAACTCCGCAGCCCCTTTGCCCCGCCGCAGCCACTCATACCGCATCGCCACACCCGATGACACTGATGATTCCTCCTCCCCTCCCTCCCTCTCCTTTCCCCTCTCCCTTGGCCCAACTCCCTCCTCTCTCTCTTCAACTCCCACATCCTCACCCACAACCTCCTCCCTATCTGGTCCCCCATCCTTCCCCCCATCCTTCCCCCCATCCTTCCCCCCATCCTTCCCCCCATCCTTCCCCCCATCCTTCCCCCCATCCTTCCCCCCATCCTGCCCCCCATCTTTCACCCCATCCTCGCCCCAATCCTCCTCCCCATCCTCCCTCGCCCGTGCACCACCACCAGTGCGCTGCAGCAGCAGGCGGCAGTGGCAGGGGCGGTCCTCTATGGGCCGGTCGAGCAGCAGCGACGAGAGGGTGAAGCCGGCAGGAAGCGTTGATGCCCAGTGGGTGGCGAGAAAGGTCACCAGGGAGGCTGGGAGGACAGGGGGAGGTGGGGGGGGAACGGAGACACAGGGCAGGCACACACAGTTGAGGGATTGAAAAGGTATGGGGCGGTCCAGCAGCAGCGAGGCAAAGGGTGTAGCCGGCAGGGAGCATGGGTGCCCAGTGGGCCGCCAGGAAAGACACCAGGGAGGCTGGGGAAGTGGGGAGAGGGAAGAAGGGAGGAGGGAACGAGGGAGAGGGGAAGGGGGAATGGGGAGTGGGAAGGTGAGAGACGAGAGGGGGGAGGGGGAGGGGGGCCAGATGAATGTGAGGGCAGGGACAGTGGTAGGAACAGGTGGAGGTGCAGGGGCAAGGGGAGGGGCAGGGGTGGGTGAGGAGCAGAGGAAGAGGTGGTAGCCATCCCATGCGCACACACATGGGCCCGGTTTTGAGTCGACTCAAAACTCGACTCATTACACGAGGGGCAGGGGTGGGTGAGGTGAGGAGCAGAGGAAGAGGTGGTGGTAGCCATCCCATGCGCACACACATGGGCCCGTGCCCTCCCCCCACACATGTGGGCACCTGTAGCAAGCAATTGCTGTGAGGAGCAGAGACATAGGTGGTACCTACCTGGTATGACATCAATTAGAGGGGACGGCGGCGGCCACCCCATGCACACACATGGGCCCGTGCCCTCCCCTCCCAACCCCACCTTGTGAGCCTGCAAGCGCCATTCACCCACCACAGGTGGTACCTGGTATGTCGCTAATGGAAGGGGACGGAGGCAGCCATCCCATGCGCACACACATGGGCCCGTGCCCTCCCCCCGCTTCTTCCACTGCTAAACGCTCATCATCACTTATAGCTGCTCACACACACATGCATGCATGCATGCGCGTGCGCACATCCACGGGTAAACACACAGAGACATGCACGCATGCACGCACACACACAGGCACACAGAAGCGCACACATGCAGAGGCGCGCACACATGCAGAGGCGCACACACATGCAGAGGCGCGCACACATGCAGAGGCGCGCACACATGCAGAGGCGCGCACACATGCAGAGGTGCGCACGCGCAAACATGAAGCACAAGCTGCTGCATTTATGTCTGAGAATAAATACAAGGAGGGGAGGGATACAAGACAAGGAAGGTGAGGAGAGCAGGGAGGAGGATGTTTTTGAGAATTCTCAAAAACACCCTGCAGGATAAGGAGAGCAGGGAGGAGGAGGAGGCACCTGAGGAGTTGAAGGAGAGAAGAGAGGAGGCGGCGAGCAGAATGGCAGCCAAGTGCGGAGCAGGGGCGTCCTCTATTGGGTTGTCGTCCAGACGCAGGTGCTGAAGGGGGGTAAAGAGGGAAAGGGTGAAGGAGAACAAGGCTGAGGCCCCTCACTGTTCTCCTCGATTAGGAGAGCAGGGGCGTCCTCTATGGGGTTGTCATCCAGTTGCAGGTGCTGTTAGTTGGTGGGGGGGGGAGAGGGAGGTAGAAGAGGAAGGTTCGCTGGCTCTGCCCCTCACAATTATCCCTTATGGAGGGAGCAGGGACGTCCTCTATTGGGTTGTCGTCCAGACGCAGGTGCTGTTAGTTGGGCGCAGGAGAAGGGGGAAAGGGAGGGAGCGAAGGAGAGGCTTATTGGCGCTGCCCCTCTCAGCTACCCTCTATGGGGGGAGCAGGGGCGTCCTCTAGGGGGTGGAGAGTTGCATGGCACGGAGCAAAGAGCACAAAGGGCATGGAACACGGGTACATGGAGCATGGGGCACAGGGCTCAGAGGGCATGGCACTCGGAGCATGGATAGGTAGGCGGGCAAGGTGGGGCAGGGCCTCTAGGGCGGGTAAGAAGGGCAAGGTGGGTCAAGGTGGGAAAAAGGTGGGTCAAGGTGGGAAAAAGGTGGGTCAAGGTGGGGAAAGGTGGGTCAAGGTGGGTCAAGGTGGGGCAAGGTGGGGCAAGGTGGGGCAAGGTGGGGCAAGGTGGGGCAAGGTGGGGCAAGGTGGGGCAAGGTGGGGCAAGGTGGGGCAAGGTGGGGCAAGGTGGGGCAAGGTGGGGCAAGGTGGGGCAAGGTGGGGCAAGGTGGGGCAAGGTGGGGCAAGGTGGGGCACGGACCTCCAGAGCGGGCAGGAGGGGAAGGATTCGAAGGAGGCGATGCTGTTGCTGCTGGCTGTGACCACCTGGAGGGGGCAGATTGTGTGTGGGCAAAGAGAGGCAGAAGAAAGAGGCGAATTGGCAGAGAGATGGTTTCAGAGGGCTCTCAAAATCCGACTAGATTCGAAGGAGGCGATGCTGTTGCTACTGGCTGTGAGCACCTGGTGGAAAAGAGAGGAGCAGATTAGAAAACAGAGAGAGGGGCGGATTGGAAAGCAGAGAGAGGGGCGGATTGGAAAACAGAGAGAGGGGCAAATTGGAAAGCAGAGAGAGGGGCGGATTGGAAAACAGAGAGAGGGGCAGATTGGAAAACAGAGAGAGGGGCAGATTGGAAAACAGAGAGAGGGGCAGATTGGAAAACAGAGAGACAGGAAGATTGGTGGCAGGAGAGGAACTGGCGGGTGCAGTAGGGAGGGGGGTGTGTTTGTGCTATGCTCGGTTCAGCTCGGTTGAGACAGGTTGTGGATGCGCACCTTGAGGCGGGGTTGGGACGGCATGTCAATGAGACAGAGCGAATTCTGAGACACTGAGAGAAACTGAGGGGTGTAGTGGGTAGAGGGGTGGTGGGTGACGGGAGGGTGGATGGGTGACAGGGTGGGTGGGAGAACGGACGGGGGAAAGCATGGGGTGGAGTAAGGAAAGAGAGGGAACAGAGGTGAAGAGGGGTTGGGTTGGGGTGGGAGGAGAGAGAAGCAGCTGAGGGTAGGAGAGAGGGGGATGGGGAGGGGAGAGAGAAACAGTGTGCATGGCAACGGTTGCATTGGATGGAACGAGTGTGAAGCAGGAGGCACGAAGGTAAGGAGAACGTGGGCATGGCATGGGAAAGAGCAGGCATGGCATGGGCATGGCGTGGGAGTAGCGTGGGAGTAGCGTGGGAGTAGCGTGGGAGTAGCGTGGGAGTAGTATGGGCATGGCGTGGGTGTGGCGTGGGTGTGGCGTGCGTGTAGTGTGGGTGTGGCGTGGGCATGGGAAAATAGCAGGACCCATGCCTCGAGGGAGGGAGTCGAGGCAGTGATGCGAGGGAGGAGATGTGGTTACCCGCCAGGAACAGTTGCTGTGGTGGGGAGAAGGGAGGGGGAGATGGGGGGAAAGGAGCAACTTTTCAGTCAACTCAAAAGAGATGTGAGGGAGGAGATGTGGTTGCCCGCTAGGAATAGTTGCTGGGGAAAGGGGGAGGGGGAGAAAGTGGGAGAAAGGGGGAGGAGACGGAGACTTCTGAGCTGACTCAAAAGAGATGCGAGGGAGGCGATGTGGTTGCCCGCCCAGGAATACTTGCTGTGGGAAAGGGGGAGAGAGTTCGGAGCAGAAGGAGAGGGGCAGGGGAAGAAGCATTTGTCACAGTGGTGAGCGTGAGTGTT